AGTTCTAAAATCTTCAATCAGTACTTTAAGGTATTTTAAATACTTTCAGTGAATTAGAACTATAGCATAAGTACTTCAAATCAGAACTTTAATTTCTGTTGAAAATGATTACTGGATAGGAAGAAAAGTATTATTCATATGTTCTACATAACCTCCTTAAATTATAATAACATTATTTTAAACTAAAGTTGTGACTCAATATAACACACAAGTAATTGTTTTTCTTAGGTATTTCATACTATCACTGCAGAATCACCAGATCTTTGAATTTTTAAAATTTTTTGCATAAAAGTGAACATTTAAGGCTAACTCTAACATTAAACAAGTTATTGTATCAGATTATTTCCTCCCTCATTCAAAATTGGACATGTGACATATTTATACTAAATCCTTGAAGTATAATAAAAGTGATAGGGAAGTGACAGGAGGAAACTGAAATATCACCAATGCATGGTAGAGACCTGACGACTTAAGTTCCCCACAACAAAGTCCAAACCAACTTTACATTAAATTTGCTGTAAAAACCATTCCTCCTTCCTGTGGTTGTCTATGCTTAGCACTCCTTGGTCTGTTACCTAAACCAAGAAAAGTACTAAGACAAATGGCAGTCAGGATTGGGAGTACGAAGTATAAAAATGTCTCCTGACAATTGTTAACCCAGTTGACAAACATTTCTGGAGCACTTACTATCTCATAATCTCACTTGACTCTCAGGGTGGGAGGGGCAATACAGGGCCAGGGAATTAAGAGGTACAAACTATCGCATAAAAAATAAGCTACAAGGATATATTGTACAACAGGGGGAATACAACCAATATTCTATAATAACTGCAAATGGCATATAACCTTTAAAAATTGTGGATCACTATACTGTACATATAATTGTAACATATAATACAACTATACTTCAAAAAAATTAATTATCAAAAGAAAAAGGCTCAGAAAATGTCTATATAATAAGTTCATGATAAATTACTAAGAGAAACTAAGAATGGTTACTGTTTCCCTTCAGTTTTAAAGTTTGACTTTTTTCTATTTTAAAATATTAGGAATTTATATATATTTAGTCAGTTCTACTATAATGCTCATTTTGAAAATCTGAATTTATTCCAATTTGACTGATATATTAAAGAACAATAGGAGTGACTTTGTCTGTGAGGAACACTGAGTGAACACAAAAACTGCACCCAGCTCAGTTCAGCTGATCAAGATATCTAGCAGATATCTAGCAGCTGATCAAGACAGTGTTGTACTGGCATCAGGATATACATTAATGGAATAAGAGCTGAAAGTCCAGAAATGGAATCATGTGCTTATCATCAACTGATTTTCATCAGAGGTGCCAAGATCACTCAGAGGGATAAATGGCTTTTCAACAAATGATGCTAGGACGACTGGGAAGCCACGTGCAAAAGAATAAACTGGGAGACCCTTACTTCACACCACACACAAAAACTAACATAAAATGGATCAAAGACCCAAATTTAAGGATTAAAATTAGAAAGCTCTTAGAAGGAAACACAGGAGTATATCTTCAACACCTTGGATTTGGCCATGGGTTCTTAGATATGACTCTAAAAGTACAAGCAACCAAAGAAAAAAATAAATTAGATTTCATCAAAATTAAAACCTTTGTGTCTCAAAGAACACTGTCATGGAAGTGAGAAAACAACAGACAGAAAGAGAGTAAATAATATTTGCAAATCATACATCTGATAAAGGACTTGTATCCAGAATACATAAAGAACTCTAACAACTTAGTGATGAAAACATAAAAAACTCAATTGAAAAATGAGCAAAGGATCTAAAGAGATATTTCTTCAAGGAAAACATATAACAGCCAATAGGAGCAGGAAAAGATGCTTGACCTCACTAGTCAAAAGGGAAATACAAATAAAAAACACAAAGAGATAATACTTCACACCCATAAGGATAGCAATAATTAAAAAGTCAAATACTAACAGCTGTTGGTGAGGATGTAGGGGGATTGGCACCCTCACACACTGCTATGGACGTGTAAAATGGAACAGCCACATTGAAAAAAGTCTGGCAGTTGTTCAAATGATTAAACATGGAGTTACCATATGACCCAACAACACCACTCCTCGGCATATACTCAAGTGAAATAAAAACATTTATCCATATGTGTTACTTACCTTGATCTTGCAATCATTCTGCAATGTATATCAAATCACTTTAAATATGTATAATTTTATATCATCAGTTTTTCCTCAGTAATAAAAAACGGTTCCAATATTTAAAAATATATCCACACAAAAACCTGCACACAGACTCCTTCAGCAACTTATTCAGAACAGCAAAAAGTGAAAACTCAGATGTCTATCAGCTGATGAATGGATAAACAAAACGTGGTACATATCCATCCTTATTATTCAACCATAGAAAGGAATCCAGTACTAACACATGCTACAACTGGCTTCCCAGGCGGTTCAGTGGTAAAGAATCGCCAGCCAAGCAGGAGACAGGGTTCGAGCCCTGTGTAGGGAAGATACCCTGGCGAAGAAAATGGCATCTCACTCCAGAATTCCAGTCTGGGAGATCCCCTGGACAGAGCAGCCTGGCACGCTAGAGGCCATGGCGGAGCAAAAGAGTCAGACATGACTTAACAACATGCTACACAACATGGATAAACCTCAAACACATCATGATAAATGAAAAAGCCAATCACAAAATATCACATATTATATGATTCCATTGTTATGAAATGTCCAAAACAGGCAAATCTACAGACAGTAAATAGATTAGTGGTTGCTTAGGGCTTGTTCACTTGCTAAGTGTCTGTGACCCATGCTGTATCCCACCAGGCTCCTCTGTCCATGGAATTTCCCAGGCAAGAATACTGGAGCGGGTTGCCATTTCCTTCTCCAGGGTGCTTACAGCTAGGGGAGAGGAATAGGGAGTTATAGCCAGAGGATACAGTTTCTTTTTTAGGTGATGAAAATATTCAAAACTGACATATCTGTTGCACATATCTGTGAATACATTAAAAATCACTGAATTGGACACTATATAGGTGACATATATGGTGTCTGAATTATATCTCCATACTGTTTTAAAAAACCTGTCTCCCAGCCGTCTCAGCTCCCCTCCCGTATCTGAGCCACACCTTCCACCATCTGCCCTAACTTTTCAACAACTCTCCTTACAAGAGGCAACCCCTCCCACATCTACTTCCAAAAGCAAATTTCAGGTTTAGCCCAAGGAAAAGTGACAAACTGATTAACATGTCTTAAACTGCCCTATCATTTTTATTAAGTTCCTACTTTTTTAATGAATCCACCTGCCGAGGCAAGAGACAGGGGTTCAATCCCAGGATTGGGAAGATCCCCTGGAGGAGGATATGGCAACCCACTCCAGTATTCTTGCCTGGAGAATCGCCATGGACAGAGGAGCCTGGTGGGCTACAGTCCACGGTGTTGCAAAGAGTCGGACATGACTGAGCAGCCGTGCACACACTCTTCTGAGTACTGAATATCTTTTATGATGTGTTACTGACGAAGTTTCTGACTGTGGCACCTCAATTCCACTTTCTTCACAAGCTCTGTGTTTCTTCCTGCTTAGTTTTGTATAAGGAAAGGATTTTTAGATATGCATATGCCATCATATAGCAGAACTGACTGTACAATCAGATGACAATATCACCCTAAATGCACCATCAGTGCTATCATCAGAAACTGAAATCAAAGCTGGATAAATTAGCAATCCAAACCAATAAGATTTCAACTGATTTTCACTGTTTAAAATTTTCAAACTAAAATGCTACAAGAAATCAATGCTATTTGGAATACTATGGTAATGATGTGGGAAAAGGTATTCAATGGTGATACAATTTTGTTTTCTAGAGACTTTATGAACACTAGAAGATGGTCCTGAAGGGGAACAAACAGTATGCATTTCAAAAGGAAAAAAGTCAGTAATGTACGGAGTCTAGCTACATGGCAAGTATTTGCTCTACTTGGGCTGTTCTCTTCCAAATCACACAAAAATACCACATTCATTTCAGTTTCTATAATTTCACTCATTCCTCTAGCACGCAGTGTCTCCCTTTTCCCCTTAGTCTCACCAAATCTCTTACTCCTGATCCAAGTCTTTCGTAGATTATCGCCATTCCAGCTCACTCTTAAGGGATCTCCCCCACTACCAAGTTCCTAAAACTTTGCTGTTTACACAAATTTAGTCTTATGTTTTTGCTCGTCTCATCCCTGCCCCTTGAATATCCAAGGCCCTCAGGGAGAGAATCAGGTGATTCAGACTCCACAAACTCTGTTTGTACAAACTCTAAACAGAGTTAAAGGTTCAAGAAGTTTTTGCTGCTGGATGATAAATAGGGAAAAATCATGGGTACCAACTAACTTTTAGTTTTCTTAGTTATGACTCAACCATTTCTGATACAAGTAATTTCAACACTTTTTAAGAAGCTAAAATTTTAACTTAGTGATGCTGAAAATACATACAGCTACTAAGGGAATAAAATCCTGTAAAACCTGCACTTGGATGTCTCACCACAAAAGAGGCTGAACAAGAAACTATGGTTAACACTAAACATTTTTCGCTAATGAACACCAATTCTACATTATAAGATGTATGGAAGCAATTTTATCTGCAGCAATTTTATCACAGTGACAAAGTATCCCTGGGGAGTGTTTCCAAAGTTTTTTTTCAGTAGCAGTTTTCTTTTTCACACAAAAGACTAAGTGAAATTCTACCATACAGGGGGAAAAAAAAGCAGAGCTGATCATGCTAAAGTGGAGGGAGAGGCCTATAGTTCTGCCTGCTTGGGTCCCCTTCAAGTGCACACAATCCTTCCCTGGTCCCGGTCCCCAGCTGCAGTGCGCCCAGAAGGCATCTCTGAGAACCATCCAGGGCTGAGAAACAGTTGCCCTGAATAGAAAAGTACCTTGTTAGTTTCTTAATGCTAACTAGCTAGTTTTTTTTTTTTAATACTTCAAACATCTCTAGAATATAAAATTAAAACTTACCCATTTCTACTGAAAATTCTTAGCCAGGCTTTGAAGTTTGGTCCTAACAAACATAAACAAGGTACAGTAGTAAAAGTGGACAAAATAACTGCAAGTGAAAATGTTTCCAGTACCAACCTAGAAAAAAGAAAACCTTCATTAACTTTTTAAGAAGTGTTAAACGTGCATGTACACATTTTGTGTCATTTTTATTTAAACAGATTTAATAATATAAACCTACTGTCCTACCAAAATGATGACTATAAAAAATGTTACTAATGAAATGCAAACTATAAAAAAACAATCTAGCAGATATCTGGCTCTAACTATAGAGTTCAGAAGTGTTAAATGCCCTGTGACACTGACACTGTCCATTGCAAGAAAACCCACTTCTAGATCATTAACTTTTTCCTCAATAGTCTCTGGAACTTTCTATGCAACCAGTGGTTCGATTTAGCTTATACTGGAACCATGTGAAGAACTAGTAAACTAATTTCTGACTAAGGCCTGAGAATTTGCATTTTGATAAAATGCTGATGCTGTTGGTTTTAGGACCACACTTGGAGAACCACTGCTCCAGACATCCACTCTACTCTAAATGGATTAGATAGAACACTAGCATTTCCTGTTTCAAAGGTCTTGTCCCTGCTCTACAAAATAATTGCCTATTAACTTATTGTGTGCACATATAACCAGATACACACACACACACAAATATATATACACACAGCTGTGTGTGTGTGTGTGTATTACATCACTCATTTTGCCACGATCATTTATCACTGCTCAGCTGAACTTTCTTCAACTACTGTGCACATAAGACATATTCATGAATCTGCCTTTCACTTATTTAAAATTTTCCAGCTTAGAAAAGGTACTCAGTCAAATTTTGCCTTTCAACTATAAACATTAGCTTATTATGTAATTAAATACAGCAATCTGCTGCTGCTGCTGCTAAGTCGCTTCAGTTGTGTCTGACTCTGTGCGACCCCATAGATGGCAGCCCACCAGGCTTCCCCATCCCTGGGATTCTCCAGGCAAGAACACTGGAGTGGGTTGCCATTTCCTTCTCCAATGCATGAAAGTGAAAGTGAAGTCGTGTCTAACTCTTAGCAACCCCATGGACTGCAGCCCACCAGGCTCTCTGTCCATGGGATTTTCCAGTCAAGAGTACTGGAGCGGAGTGCCACTGCCTTCTCCAACACAGCAATCTACTGACTTTTAAGAAAACAAACTTTTCGAGCAATTTAGAATCACATTTACTAGGAACTGATATGCTGTTTGTAACTAATTTATATGTATCATTATAATCAGTTTCCTTAGAAGTTCTAAGGAATTATGATTACCAGTATCATACACTTACTGCTATAGGACAATTTCTGATATACCTCCCTCCTCAGGCAACTGGGTAACAGAAGGCTAGGTAATAGGAACATTTAGTGAATTAAGTTATTTCACTGTCTTTAAAAGAAAAAATAACACTGGCAAGGAAGGGCAATGATGTCAGTATCCTTCCGTGATCCATTAACTGAACACATCATTTTTTTTCTCTAGTCACCAACAGAATCAGCATTTGGTTTTACCAATGACTGTTTTAAAATATAATTGGCTTAAGGTACACATTTCAGACTTACTCTATTAGTGGTGCGCCATACAGGACAAAAATTACATGAAAGAAGAAACAAGACGTAAGAAAGTAGATACAGCATTTCAAAAATCTGGTTACCTAAAAAAAGAAATGAACAATTTAAAGAATCAAGAGAGTGCCTGAAGGACAGCAGATACTTTGAATTTTATCTACAAATACAACTTGGTCCCACATTGAGTGGTACAGGGGACTATTCTTTGGATTTGCTCCTGAAGTTAGATCACATATGCTTTACACAACACTTTTAAAAAGCCTAAAAGACAAGAATTGACCCCCATATTCCACACACCTAGCCAACAGCAGAGTCAGAATACATTTTTGTTCCTCTGCTATGTACTGAATTATGCTGTTAAGCAGTATTTATGAAATATCTACCAATAAGAGTGCTAGGATACACACACAAAAAATACAGTTCTTATTGTGTGATGTTACACGTGAAATATTTACAGAAAATAACTATGATAAATCTTTTTCATTTTAAAACAAAATTCCTAGAAAAACTGGACAAGAAATTACAATATTAAGTAATTCCCCAAATCATAATTACGTTACTATAAAAAAAGACCTGCATGTTTGAAAATCAGTGTGTGGGACCTACTTGACTTCAAGAAGATCTAACGGTAAAACACACATTGAGCTTCTTATATCAAAGGGCAGTAAACATGTTTTAAATTACCTAACAGCATATGTATAGTACTGAATAATGTTCAGTGAGGACTTCTCAAATAATAGTCATGTTACACTGTAGTAAATACTCCAGAAAATAGATTCCAATATCTGAAACTTCAACTACCATTTAGTCAAGGAAGGCCATGTTTGAGACAAGAGCTACCAAGGTGGTTTATTTTATAATGTCTAAAAACCCCAGTGTGTCTTTCAGAAATGCAAAAGACGCATGAAAATAAACTGAAATGTCTTATAAGGTTTAAAGGTGCAATTGCTACATGTTTTTATCTTCATCATGTTTTATGATGATGTAAAACATGACTATATAGGTTCACAATGTTATGATATCCAATGAACTCATGGCAAGAATCTATCAAACATGATGGACAATCTTTCAGCAAGCAATACATTACTGATTTGGGGGGGAAATATCAGCTTCTTTATTCACTGTAAATAGCCTAATAAATGCTTGACTAATACTTTATCCTTCCAGTAAAAGAAAAATTACCTACATCTAAAAATCATTTATCAAGAAATAAGCCTTACCTTGTATGATAATGAACTTCTTTTAGAAGACACATTTGGTTTCACTACTAAATACAATACTAAATTGACGGCAGTTACAGAAACAGAACAGATGCATAACCATGTCAAGTGTGTCTCCAATATTGAGAAGTTCTCCAAGAAGAATGATGGAATGAAGATGCTTAGGATAATTGAAAATATGCATAAAAGATGGGTATACAGTAGCTTCTTGATGTCAGTATCTTTCATGGTGTTTTCTTGAGTGGCTATCTAATGAAAAACAAATTAAGAAAAGAGCATAGACAATAATGACTTTTTGCATTGTCCTAAATACTTCGACATCTAAAAATAAGCCATGAACCAAAGTCAGTTTTCTATGGGCAAAAATGTCTAAGTGCTAGAATACAGGGAGACGTATATGTGGAAATATACATGTAGACTAGTATGATACAAACTGTTCTCACAGCCTAAAAAAGGACACATTAACTAATTTCTTAAATATTTGTGTTTAGTTTCTGCAACATGGTCATGTGCTAGGACTATTTAAGCAATCCATTGTATTTTTCCTTTCCTTTTTTCCTTTGCCAAAATCAGAGGTGAAAACAAAGGGCATAGGTTAATAACTTGCCCTTTTGGAATTATAAGCTATGCATTCTAGGAACCCCATAATACACTTTGGCTGGACTGTTGGCAATTTTTGTCATCATGGACCTTTGTCTAACATCACAGTAGTTCACATTTTCTAGCAAGTGCCAAGTAACACCAGGTACACATTGGAATACTCAAATGGTGGCCAGTGTTATCAAGAGCCTTCAAAGAACATTATGCTAAACCAAGGAATCCCAGTGCTGCAAAAATACCAAAATGGCAATGTCCGTTACAGATGCCAGATTCCAAGCAAAAGCAGGGTATGAATGAAAGGAAGAAAAATATTTACTTTCTTTCTATAAAACACATATTTGATGTATGTACATATTTACAAATTATCTAACAGAGAGCTTATACATGGTATGGACTGATGTTAAGTAAGGAGTTTATTAAAGTAATAGTCCACAGGTTACACTGAGCTGAACAGTCCAGAAAAAATTATATATACATACATATAGATATGGACAATGTGCAGAATATGGACATTCACGCAGTCGTGTCAGATTCTTTGCGACCCCACAGTGTAGCCTGCTAGGCTTCTCTGTCCAAGGGATTGTTCCAGCCAAAATTGAACTCAGGTCTCCTGAGTTTCCTGCTTTGCAGGCAGATTATTTACCACTGTGGAGAAGGAAATGGCAACCCACTCCAGTATTCTTGCCCAGAATATCCCATGGAGAGAGGAGCCTGGCAGGCTATAGCCCACAGGGTTACAGAGAGTCGAACAGGACTGAGTGACTGAGCACTCTACCTACCACTGAGACACCAGGGAAGCCTATATATATATATGTATATATTTTATAAACACACACACACACACACAGGGCGCCCACAGGGCAAAAGGGCGAATCCACACCTTATCCCAACATTCGAATTCACACTACACTTTTCAAACGCAAACGTTAATACTTTACTGATAAGGAAACAGGCTAAAACAGATTAAGAAATACTCCAAGGTCTCAAGCTCTCAAGTGCTAAAGCCATTTCAAAACCTAGCCTCGCTGATAATATACGCACCAAGGGGTCAAGAAGGGAATGAATGGCAAGAAAGGAAATGTTTCTCACAGGTGCTACGCTCAGCTGAGGGGCGGGGAGGGAAATCTAGAATATATTCTCTCAATAGACAACCCTTCAGATATTTTTCTGGGCCACCCTCAGAATCCCAACTGACCGAGCAGATCTGGACCTTAGACAGTGAGAGGCACCCAAACTCAGATGGCTTGCGGAATGAGTGAATGAACAAAGAGTTGGTTCAGTGCTGCCCTTCTGAGAAACCAGCCCTCTGTCAGGCCCTGGCTAGCCGAGGACGACTCTGGTCAGGTGCCCTCTCAGGTGGCCAGGAACCCGGTATCCGCAGTCACACCTGACCCAGGCCCTCAAGCCTTGCAGAGGTAGAGAAGGCCCTTCTGAGCGACTCCTAGAGGAGCCTTGGCGGGACATTAACCTGCAGCTTCATCCCAAATTGCATCGCTCCGGACTCTGCCTAAGCCTGTCTCAGCCGACCGGAGTGTGGGCAGCGAGGGAGGAGCTGAGAAGCATAATCAAAGAACACAGACGTGGAGACCAAGAGAAACGGAGGTACAGACACAGAAAGACGTATCCCAAAGAGGTCAGTCCATCAGGGCAGCCCTTGGGTAACGCCGGAAGGGCGGCGCTCGAGGGGCAGGCAGGCGCCAATTGGGTGGGGACAGAGATTTCCGGCCAGTTGGCGAAAGTGGCCTGCAGCCTCGGGAGGCTCGCATGCGGGGGGCGTTCGGCTGGGCTTACCTATCTCTCCCACCCGCGGAACGGAAGGGAGGGTTACTACCTCCCACCATCAGGTGCCACTCACTGCTCTGAGCCTCGCGCAGGCGCAGCCTGTGGGGCGGAGACCCAAGGCCTCACAGCCAATCGCAGAAGTGGAGGGGCGGACCAAGAAGGCAGCCCCGCCTTCTCTCGCGCGTTTATTCCTCCCGCTCCTTTCCAGGTGCAGGATAGGCGGGGCGAAGGGCGGTGGGGCCGGAAGTGAGTTTTAGTAACCCGGAAGAGGAGTTTTTTCCTGGCTATAGTGTTGATATCTTCCAACTGCTGCTTGTACTGCGGCTGAGGGTATCGTCGCGAAAGGATGGTGTGCGAGAAATGTGAGTTAAGGAGACTTCTCCGGGAGAAAGAGGCTAGGAGACCCTAATTCGAACTCCACGGGGACTTTGCCCTTTTTTGTTTTTCCTTCGGCCACAGGCCTCTGACTAAGTCTCTGTCCTTCTGTCTTACTATTTGACCATTCCGGCCCCTCCCCAATGACCGTATAGTCCTGTATCTGTTGGATTCGGGGTGGGTGGTCCCAGTTTTGCTCCGTTTGTCTATTTCGGTTGCTTCCCCTCTACCCTGGCTATCATCCTGTGCTGCTTCTTGACAGGCTCCCTCGCTTCACAGACCCTCAGGGTTGGAATGGATCTTAAATATCACTTCCACAACATCTGGAGTTGCTGGATTTAGCAAATAAAAGTACCGGACGCCCAGTTAGATTTGAATTTCAGGTAAACAACGAATAATTTTTAGTGTGAATATGTCCTATGCTGTATTTGAGACTTGGCCCTGTTTGCTGCTCCTACTACTATTAAGTGCTTTGTCCCAAAGCACGCACTTTTACGATATTTTTTTACTGAAAATGTATTCTTTGTTTATCTGAAATTTAAATCTCACTAGGTGTCCTGTACTTTATCTAACAAGCCTAAATCAGGATCCCACCCACTGGCTTAAGTGCTTTTTGCATGAATGCCTAGAGTACTGAGGCACGGGGCTAGGAGAATCTTACCATCTTCAAAGAAGTCTCTGTAGTTTTCTCTGGCTTTTAGAGAAGTCTTTCCTCCTCATGGACTTCCCTGATGGCTCAGAATCTATAGAATTTTCCTGCAGTGCAGGTAGACCCGGGTTCCATCCCAGGGTCCGGAAGATCACCTGGAGAAGGGAATGGCAACCCACTCCTGTATTCTTGCCTGGAGAATTCCATGGACAGAGCAGCCTGGCAGGTTACAGTCACTGAGGTCGCAAAGAGTCAGACAGGACTGAGTGACTAACACTTTCCTCGTTATAGTTGCCATTCAGTGACTCTAATGCCAACCCTTGAGAGTTCTAGAAAATATGATTTTTTGACTTCACATATTGTTTATAGGTTTAAAAAGAGCTCTCATATCCTCAAATACCTTTTTCCTACCGTTAGGTATGTCTGACTCTTCTGTAAAAAAGATTCAAGTCCTCATATCCTGATAATTAACATGATCCGTTTTGTTTATATCCCCATTGTATATAAAACTTAGAACCCAGATGCCCGTGAATTTGAATCAGAGTTTTTATATTAGGTGAAAGAATGACCATGGATGGTTTCTTTATTAAATTTTCAGAGTACAGAAAATAATTTGGTGTTTTTATATTTGGAGCCTGGCATTAGGGAGGACCCTCCACAATAAAGCCTTAGCTTACGTTTTAAACTTCATTTCCACTAACCTTTATATTCTTCACTTCAGCCAAACCAAACTGTTTTGTATGCCTGTATGTACATACCCTGAGTTTTCCATGCCTTTTCCCAGGATGTGTCCTTTATCCATGTTACCTTCATCCTCTTTTCTCCTCTCTCTTACCAGTCCCATTGCCACTAACCCTCTCTATTGCCTCCCCCACAAAGGTTTCCTGGATTTCCCTGATCAAGATTATTTTTTTCTTCCATGAGATTTCTCCTAGCACTACAGTTCTGAATTGTTATACTGTTTATTTTCCAGCTTATATTTTAGTTGAATAGTTCTTAACTTTCGGGGGTGGTTCTCTGAGCCCTTTGAGAATGTGATGAAAGCTATGGACTTAATATAGTCTACTTAAAAATGAATATACAAAAAGTTTGTGTATGGTTTTGTCTTACTCATATATCGTCTGTGGCCTACCTGTGAGACTCAGACTAAGGACTACTGTTAGGGAAATCAGTGTGCTATAAACTCCTTGAAATCTAGACCTTTATCTAATTCATTTTACTTTTCTCTATACTTTGTACAATGGCTTATACATCAGAGATGCTTAGTAAATGTTTATAGAATGAATAGATTTATCAGATTTGTTTATACATGTACAGAGGAAGCCTGTTATAAGCCATCCTGTTATCCACAAATTTTACTTGAGAGTCAGTTATCCATTACCCACAGTTAATATCTTAAGTCTCAGTTCAGTGGCCCTAAGCCCAACATTAACAGGCTTGTACATTGTGAGTGGTGATACCATTGTGAACTTTAGGCACAATGTAGTGTATTTATTAGATAATAAACACTAATCCCTCTTGTTTTTAACTGTCTTTTTTTAACAGGTGAAAAGAAACTTGGTACTGTTATCACTCCAGATACATGGAAAGATGGTGCAAGGAATACCACAGGTATTTTTCCTTTTAGAACATAGATATTGAATGATATACTTCCTGTGAATAATGTTTTCATTTTCACATTATTTGTAAAATGAAATCTTGTTATACGTACAGCATACTTCATTTATTAAACATTAAAGAATACTAGATCTCCCAACTGTTTAACATATTCTTCTATTTTGTTCTTTGAGTGACACGTCAGGGTTCCTGATTTGGTAGAAAGGAAATAGCAGAAAAATGAATTTTAAGCAACGAGTGCATCATAGTGTTAATAATTGATTTGATTAAGCTTAATTAGGTTTAGTATCGAAAGCCCCTTTTCCTCACCTGATTTTTATATTTTGAACAAATTATTTAAATGTTTTCACCATCATAATCATTAATTACAGTGAGGATTTTTTCAGAGGAAACAAAAAAATATTTTCACTATTCAATGTCACTGGCACTAAAGTAGTGGTGTCTGGACTTTACATTAGATAGAGTAAATATAGACCCATTCCCAAAGTCCTACACTGAGTCTGAGGAATAAGATGATTGCTTTTTTTCCACCACCACACCCTGTCCCCCATCCCCAACCATGCTGTGAAGTTTGTGGGATCACAGTTCCCTGATTAGGGATCGAATCCACCCCTTTGGCAGAGTCTTAACCGTGGACTGCCAGGGAGTTCCTATAATGATTGCCTTTTATCCAAATTTTATTCTCCTAGTAAAAAATTGTTTTATTTTTAAGTAGTGTCTTTAAAACCTGGCTTTTAAATGAAGATTTTTGAAAATGTTGATATAGGCTAGTCTACCTGGAATGTTAGGTCCATGAGTTAAGGCAAACTGGAAGTGGTCAAACAGGAGATGGCAAGAGTGAACATCAACATTTTATGAATCAGTGAACTAAAATGGACTGGAATGGGTGAATTTAAGTCAGATGACCATCATATCTACTACTGTGGGCAAGAATCCCTTACAAGAAATGGAATAGCCATCATAGTCAACAAAAGAGTCCAAAATGCAGTACTTAGATGCAGTCTCAAAAACAACAGAATGATCTTTGTTCATTTCCAAGGCAAACCGTTCAGTATCACAGTAATCCAGGTCTGTGCCCCAACCAGTAATCCTGAAGAAGCTGAAGTTGAATGGTTCTATGAAGACCTACAAGACCTTCTAGAACTAACACACAAAAAAGATGTCCTTTTCATTATAGGGGACTGGAATGCAAAAGTAGGAAGTCAAGAAACACCTGGAGTAACAGGCACATTTGGCCTTGGGGTACAAAATGAAGCAGGGCAAAGGTTAGCAGTTTTGCCAAGAGAATGCACTGGTCAAAGCAAACACCCTCTTCCGACAATACAAGAGAAGACTCTAGACATGGACATCACCAGATGGTTAGTACTGAAATCAGATTGATTATATTCTTTGCAGCCAAAGATGGAGAAGCTCTATACAGTCAGCAAAAACAAGACCGGGAGCTGACTGTAGCTCAGATCATGAACTCCTTATTGCCAAATTCAGACTTAAATTGAAGAAAGTAGGGAAAACACTAGACATTCAGGTTGACCTAACTCAAAACCCTTAACGAATATACAGCAGAAGTGACAAAGAGATTCAAGGGATTAGATCTGATAGACGGAGTGCCTTCAGAACTATGGACACAGGTTCATGACATTGTACAGGAGGCAGTGATCAAGACAATCCCCAAGGAAAAGAAATGCAAAAAGGCAGAATGGCTGTCTGAGGAGGCCTTACAAATAGCTGAGAGAAGAAGAGAAGCTAAAGGCAAAGGAGAAAAGGAAAGATATACCCATTTGAATGCAGAGTTCCAAAGAATAGCAAGGAGAGATAAGAAAGCCTTCCTCAGTGATCAATGCAAAGAAATAGAGGCAAACAATAGAATGGGAAAGACTAGAGAACTCTTCAAGAAAATTAGAGATACCAAGGGAACATTTCAAGCAAAGATGGGCACAATAAAGGACAGAAATGGTATGGACCTAACAGAAGCAGAAGATATTAAGAAGAGGTGGCAAGAATACACAGACAAACTATACAAAAAAGATCTTCACGACCCAGATAACCATGATGGTGTGATCACTCATCTAGAGCCAAATATCCTGGAATGCAGTCATGTGGGCCTTAGGAAGCATCACTACGAACAAAGCTAGTGGAGGTGATGGAATTCCAGTTGAGCTATTTCAAATCCTAAAAGATGATGCTGTTAAAGTGCTGTACTCGATATGCCAGCAAATTTGGAAAATGCAGCAGTGGCCACAGGACTGGAAAAGTTCAGTTTTCATTCCAGTGCCAAAGAAAGGCAATGCCAAAGAATATTCAAACTGCTGCACAATTGCACTCATCTCACACACTAGCAAAGTAATGCCCAAAATCCTCCAAGCCAGGCTTCAACGGTATGTGAACCATGAACTTCCAGATGTTCAAGCTGGTTTTAGAAAAGGCAGAGGAACCAGAGATCAAATTACTAACATCTGTTGGACCATTGAAAAAGCAAGAGAGTTCCAGAAAAACATCTACTTCTGCTTTATTGACTACACCAAAACCTTTGACGGTATGGATCACAACAAACTGGAAAGTTCTTCAAGACATGGGAATACCAGACCACCTGACCTGCCTCTTGAAAAATCTGTATGCAGGTCAAGAAGCAACGGTTAGAACTGGACATGGAACAACAACAGACTGGTTCCAAATCAGGAAATGAGTGCGTCAAGGCTGTATATTGTCACCCTGTTTTTTTAACTCATATGCAGAGTACATCATGAGAAACACTGGGCTGGATGAAGCACAAGGTGGAATCAAGATTGCCGGGAGAAATATCAATAACCTCAGATAGGCAGATGACACCACCCTTATGGCGAAAACTGAAGAAGAACTAGAGAGCCTCTTGATGAAAGTGAAAGAGAAAAGTGAAAAGGTTGGCTTAAAACTCAACATTCAGAAAACTAAGATCATGGCATCTGGTCCTATCACTTCATGGCAAATAGATGGGAAAACAATGAGAGACTTTATATTTAGGGGCTCCAAAATCACTGCAGATGGTGAGTGCAGCCATGAAATTAAAAGATGCTTACTCCTTGGAAGAAAAGTTATGACCAACCTAAACAGCATATTAAAAAGCAGAGACATTACTTTGCCGTCAAAGTCTGTCTAGTCAAAGCTATGGTTTTTCCAGTGGTCATGTATGGATGTGTGAGTTGTACTATAAAGAAAGCTGAGCACAGAAGAATAGATGCTTTTGAACTGTTGTGTTGGAGAAGACTCCTGAGAGTCCCCTGGACTGCAAGGAGATACAACCTGTCCATCCTAAAGGAAATCAGTCCTGAATATTCATTGGAAGAACTGATGCTGAAGCTGAAACTCCATTACTTTGGCCACCTGATGCGAAGAACTGACTCATTGGAAAAGACCCTGCTGCTGGGAAAGATTGAAGGCAGGAGGAGAAGGGGACAACAGAGGGTGAGATGGTTGGATGGCATCACCGACTCAATGTACATGAGTTTCAGTAGGCTCTGGGAGTTTGTGATAGACAAGGAAGCCTGGCATGCTGCAGTCCATGGGGTCGCAAAGAGTTGGACATGACTGAGCAACTGAACTGAACTGATTGGTTAGAAATCAAAAGATGAACTTTCTAGTTGTTAAATGTTGCATGGCTATGTTATTATGTGAAATGTGTAGAAATAACCCACCTAGTGTGTATATATTTCAATGCAGAAAGTGGTGGAAGAAAGCTGAACGAAAATAAGGCTTTGACCTCAAAAAAAGCAAGGTAGGTAAAAGAGCATCTGTAAAGCAGTCATAAATTTCCACTCTTTAATATTAACTGTATTGGAACGAACTTGTTTTGCCTCATTCTGTTATAATAAAGCATAGACTTAGGTAATTCCCAGGGTGTATAACCAAGCTATCTGTTACATCCTATTGGTTTTACCCTGTTCTTTTCACTGTATCAATATATGAAGATATGTATTATTTTTATAATTTGACCAGAAAATAGTACTTATTTTTTCTAGTTCTTAGTTTTTCTATGAATCACAGGCAGCAGACAAGTATGGACAGATCATGAGCTCTAAAGTCAGACATAAATTTGAATCTAGACTTGTTACTGTCTAGTTCTATAACCTTAAGCAAGTCAAAACAGTTCCTTAACTTTCCTGAACATTGTTTTTTTACCGAGGAATGGGGGTAAAAATGTCTCCTACCATAAAAACAATTTTTGACACCATGCTCTACTATATTCAGTTTTAAAAGCTCCATAAATTCTTCTAGCTGCCATCCATTTTCTTGCTTCCTTTTATAGCAGAACTTTTCAAAAGCCATATCTAGAGTACTTTCGCAGTGTCATTAAGTTATATTCAGCCTTCAGCTACTGTAGTCAGGCCTCCGTCTCTACCACACTCATAAACCTACTCTTGTCAAGATCACACATGACCTTTGAAACTGTTGGCTACTTCTCAGTTCTTACCTTTCTTAACCTTTCAAAAGTGTGCTGTCTCTCTCTCTTTTTTTTTTTTTGCAACCATTTGTTCTCTTGGCTTTGAGATACCACATCCTCCGTTCCTCTTAACTCACTAACTGTTCCTTCTCAGTCCAGTGCTTGTAGACTCAATCCTAGACTTTTTTTCCCCCATTTATAAATTTGCTATCTCTCCTCAAGTGACTTTGGTCCAACACCTTTAAATTCAGACTGTATGTTAATGACTTCCACATGTATATCTCATCCTGACTTTTCTGAACTCCAGACATATATCCAGTTGCCTCCTTGACTTTTCTAATTTGATGTTTGACAGGCATCCTCTTTTTCCTTCAGTTTAATCATAGTCTTCTCATCAAGGCTCTGGGGTTCAATCTACTTGTACAAACCAAAATTCCTCACTGATTTCTTCATTTCATTCCCTTCTCAAAGTCATTAGTGAGTTCTATGGCTCTACTACCAAAAACTAACCTGAATCCACCTTCTTCTGTTCATCTCACTGCTATTACCCTCTTCTAAACCATCATTATTATTTCTTATTGAATACTGTAATAACTTCTGTCTCCCTGTTTCCTCTCTGATTCCCTATACTTCATTCTCATAATAATCAGAGTGGTTCCTTAAAAGATATGTAACTCCTTTGCTCAAAACTGTCCGTTGAGTTTCTTTTTACATTGAATAAAATCCAGGCCCTGTGCCATGTTCTCACAGGGTCCTTTATGGTCTGGCCCCTCCTACCTCTGTGACTTCCCATTGAGCCAACTCTTGAATCAGATTTACCAAGCCCACTCTCATCGGAAGAGGTTTTGCTTACTGTGCCCTCTTCCTAGAACTCATCCCTAAGAGCTCACATGGCTGGCTCCTTCTGGTTACTTGAGTTGCAGCTGAAATGTCATTTTTTCAGAGACAGTCCCTAACCAGCATCTAAACTAATGGTCTTCCTTCCTTCCTTCCTTCCCCTCCTGTCCACCACACTATCCTCTTTGAATTTTCTCTACAACAGGTATTACTATCTTAAAAGTGTGGTTGTCTCCTTACTTACTGTCTGTCTCCTCTCACAAATGTCAACTGGGTGAGGACAGAAGCTTTGTCAAGTTCATCTTTGGCTTTTAATAACAAAGCTTCTAATACATAAAGTGCCTTACACATAGAGGTGTTTATTAAATAATGAGTATAAAATAGCATAATAGACTTAAACTTCAGTACATTGTCTCATTGTGTATTGTTGACTGACATATTGATGTCTTCTAAGATCATTCAGTTATTATTGACCAAGTTGTTTCTTTTACAGAGCATACAGTTTTTGGTCCTTCTAGTTCCTTTATGCTCCCAAACTTCCTTCAGTATCATTAATAAGTAGCTATTACTTTGGGATATTTTAAATGTCTCATTGTGGGAAGTATACATAAGATTTCTGATATATTAAAATGTACATTTTAGAAAAAAACATGGTTCTAAGAAAAAGTAATCTGTAGACTTGTAGGTCCAAACAAATTGAACTTATTATTCAAAGGAAGAATCAGGTTCATTTTTAACTTACCTTGTGGGAAGTAAAGTGACATTCTTTTGGATTTAGAAAAATTAACTTTTGAAAAATGAGCTATCATATTGTACCCAAGAGAAGAAACCAGGTCTGGACAGTGTTGGTATTCGGTATATGAGTTCAGTTACAAAAAGTTACTGCCAATTTGATGGGAAGTATTTCCTCTAAAATTATTCTGCACTGCAGTTACAGTAGGATGACATTTTCATTTAATAGAAACTTTTTTATCCAAAGAAGTTTACATCAGTTAATTGAAAATATCAGTTAAACTAGGCAATCATGAAGAGATACACATACCTTATTTTAAGTCAAAGCACATAACTGTACACATATTTCATCAATCATTTTACATTGAGACTTTTTGAATATGAGTCTGCTTTATCATTTGCCTTATATAAATCATAACCAGAATATATATTTTCAGTATCTTTAAAGTAGCTCAAGAACTGACACTTTTCAAGTGCCAAGTCCTTCCATTTAGAATTTTTTCTCAATTTTTAAGTTTTCTTACCCATGACTAATGCTGTAGCAGTTTTAATGATTCACTCTTTCCTGGTCAAACTATTCACTTAGTTTTTAATAGAATCAGTTACATTTTTTGTACTCTTCATTTCATGAGTTTCCATAATATTTAATTGTATCACATGAGTAGATTGACAAATACAGCTATTATAAACAGGTTTGGGATTAAGTACAGATGACTCTATAAGCATACAGCTTACATGGAAGGGGCAGAAGTGTGCAGGTATGTTAAGAGAGTAGCCAGTTAGAAGAGTGCTATGCCTATCAATTTTGTAGAGTTTTATAGAGGGATCAGAAAGCATAGATTAATCACATTTGTTGCTTAAGTGCGGTTATTTAAGGGTATTTCTATTGTATTGTACATTTTTCTTTTAAAAAAAAAATCTCTAGATTTGATCCATATGGAAAGAATAAGTTCTCCACTTGCAGAATTTGTAAAAGTTCTGTACACCAACCGGGTTCTCATTATTGCCAGGGCTGTGCCTACAAAAAGGGTGAGTTTCTCTTAATACCACTTTTATATTCATATCAAAATACTTCTTTTGATACTGATTTGAATAACACAGTAAAAGAGTAGCCCTTCATATCTTATTTGTCAGATAAATGTTCTTTTTTCTAAGGCAAAATATACAGAACTTGTCGTAGTTAAAAGTATATCTGTTTTCTCTTTTCTGATGGTGTTTTTTTTTTTTTTACCTTCATCAGTGACTTAAATAAACCAAATCATTGGTATTAGTTAAATATTTGATTGATATAATTAGTTGTTGTTAACATTTGATTGCTTACATGAGTTTTCTGTTTGTTTTAGGCATCTGCGCTATGTGTGGAAAAAAGGTTCTGGATACCAAAAACTACAAGCAAACGTCTGTTTAGGTGTATTGAAGTTTCTGATTTTCTGTATGATCTTACTTTTTGCTTTGAATTTTCAAGGCACAACTTAGATGTTCAAGTTACAAAATAACATGTCTTAAGACAATTAAACCAGGGAAGTAGACTGGTATTCTTTCTTTTGCTGTCAAGAAGGTCAGCAGCAATGTAACTAGTTTTCTGCCATAAGCTTTATTTTCTTTACAAACATCTTATTTAACTGGAGTAAGTAACAAATCTAACAAAAATACTTTCCTAGTTCTGTATGCACTTTTTAATTTATCATTACTCATATAATTTTTATTCTTTTTCCCTCTACATTATAGATATTGCAAAAGAAGGAAGCTATTGATACATGGCTTTGAATTTGGCATTCAGACTTGTAATCCTTCCCTCATTCCCTGTTGGTTGTGTAGCTTTAGAATCAGCCGTTCCTTAATTAATTGCAGCATCATAGGGCTAAATATCTGAGCCCATTGTTGTTTAATAGTTCCTTAAATAAATTATCCCAGACCCAAATTAAACAAAAGTTGTTTTTATGTTATTTTTTATTCATTTGTGAAGCCAAAGTGCTTTCATATGAGAACAGGAACTCAAGGGACAACCCACATATGTCCAAAAAAATACACTGGATTTCAGAAAAACACATATCACCTTGAATTCAGAAGCCAGAAGAACATTGCGCATCCATAATGATGTGTAGTGAATGAATCACCATTATTTGGGAAAGTGCTTTGAAGCAGACACCAAACATTTTTTTAACCTCCTCTTCTTTTCCCTCCCCCACTAAAAATAAATAGACAAAGCAAACATTTTGACTCTTTTTTAAAATATATATTTAATATAGACTGCTAAAAGACTGCTTTGAGGTTTCTTTTTTTTAACTATAGTTGATTTACAGTGTTGTGTTAATTTCTGCTGTGGACAACAGAATGATTCAGTTATACGTATATATACATTGTTTGTTAAATCCTTTGCCATTATGGTATATTGCAAGATATTGAATACAGTTCCCTGTGCTATGCAGTAAGACCCTGTTGTTTATCCATTCTGTGCATCTGCTAACCCCTAACTCCCAATCCATCTCCCCACCCCGACAGCCCCCTTGGCAGTCACAAGGCTGTTCTCTTTGTCTGTGAGTCTGTTCTGTTTCTTAGATAGGTTCGTTTGTGTCATATTTTAGATTCTGCCTTTAAGTGAAATCATATGGTATCTGTCTTTCTAACCTCACTTAGTACAGTAATTTCTAAGGCTGTCATGTTAATTGGACATTATTTCATTCTTTTTATGACTGAGTAATATTCCATTGTATGTGTCAGTCTTTTGAATTGTAGTTTTGTCTGAATATATGCCCAGGAGTTGGATTGCTGGATCATATGTTAGTTCAATTTTTAGTTTTTTGAGGAACATTCATACTGTTTTCCATAGTAACTGTACCAACTCATATTCCTACAGTGTAGGCGGGTTCCCTTTTCTCCATACCCTTTCTAGCATTTGTTATTAGTAGACTTTTTAATGATAAGCCTTTCTGACTATGGTACTTCACTGTAGTTTTGATTTGCTTTTCTCCAATAATTAGTGACGTTGACCATCTTCTCATGTGCCTGTTGGCCATCTGTGTCTTCTTTGGAGAAGTGTCTAGGTCTTCTGCCCATTTTTTGATTGGGTGGTTTGGGCTTTGTGTTGAATTATATGAACTGTTTGTGTGTTTTGGAAATAAAGCACTTGTCAGTCACATCATTTGTAAATATTTTCTCCGAGTCTGTAGGTTGTTCTTTTCATTTTGTATATGATTTCCTTTGTTATACAAAAGCTTATAAGTTTGATTAGGTCCAGTTGGTTTAATTTTGCTTTTGTTTCTATTGCTTTGGTAGACTGACCTAAGAAACATTGGTACGGTTTATTTCAGAGAATGTTTTGCCTGCATTCTCTTTTAGGAGTTTTATGGTATCAGCATCACGTCTTATTAAGTGTTTAAGCCATGTTGAGTTTATTTTTGTGTGTGGTGAGAGGGTGTGTTCTGTGTGTTCTGACTACATTGATTCACGTGCAGCTGTCCAACTTTCCCTACTTGCTGAAGAGATTGTCTTTTTTCCATTGTATATTTTTGCCTCCTTTGTTGAAGATTAATTGACCATAGGTGTGTGAGTTTATTTCTGGGCTGTCTGTTCACTTTCAGGTTTCAGACAAACCCCTTTCTTTTGCTGCCTTTAGAGGTACAGGACTTCTGCTTTTCAAACAAGCTTACTGTGGGAGGCCAAAAAAAGTATTCCCCATTGCCAAGTGCGGTATAAAGATGTATCACTGTAAAATGGTAGACTAGATACAATGATGATACAATGGTATAGGTACCACATTTTTATGTTTTAAAATTACTGTGGAAAGTATTTAAAGTTTTAACTGTTTAATTTTATCTATAAGGTTTTTTCCCCCTAGAATACATTCTTATTCTTACCCAGAAAGATCACAGCAATAATGAAAAATATAATAACAATAGCTCTGAGGGCAAGAAGTATCTTCTCATGCTTTAATTTGGGATTTTAAGCTAAAATCAACACAAGGGATACATAATAGGACCTGATTAAGAGAGTGACCCAGATCCATTAAAAGCTGCATTGGTCAACTTTGGGAAAGTACATTTTTCAGGTATCAACTGGGATGTGGATCTCCACAACTCATATTTCCTATTCATGCCTAACTAGCCTTCTGCTGTAAATGATCCAATGGCCAGACTCAGGTTGTTCTGTGAAGATATTTGTCAGTGTTATACCTCGGAGTAGTGTAAGTGTTATAAACCTTCATATTGTTGAAATAACAATGTGACTGCCGTAAGTTAAATAGAAGTTATTAAAAGAGGAAGAAAGTCCCAAAATAAAACATAAACATAAAATATTTTTTAAAAGAAATTTAAAAATAGAAAATATAACATTAAGATGACAGGATTAAGATCATATCTAGCCTTTATCAAGTTAAATAACATTTTTTTAAAAAAATCTCAGATTGTATTTAATGTATGTATGTCAGAAACAAATACCAACAGAAAATTTCTTAAGTACTTTCACTTATTAAAATATGCAGCCATCAAAATAATACAAGATTTATGTATTTGTGCAGAAGTTTATGTATACAAATAGAAAACATCTGAAAGCCACTATATGGTTTTCTCTGTGGAATAGAATTAAGGGTTGAGAAAAGAGAGACTTAACCCTTTACAGCCTCATGCCAACTACTTAGTACTTTTTAGCTTCTAATTCCTTTACCTGGGGGAGCAGGAGAGTACTAATAATTTTAGTATCCTAGAAATATATATTTACATGCATAAATACATATTTATTTTTTGAGAATTTCAGGCAGAAGAAATGTATACATTGTTCTGCACTTCAGCTTGTTAATGTTTATATTTGCTTTACCATTTTCTGTCTCCTTACACATTTTTTGACCACATGATGAATACATTGCAGAAACCACACCCTTTAATACTACATATGTACTTCATAAGAGCAAGCATGTGAAGTATGGTTATCAAATTCAGGAATTTAACGTTAATATTTTCATCTAATCTATAGTCCTTGTTCCAGTTCCATTTGTTGTCCTATTGGTGAATTTTTTTACAACTACAGGATCATATGTTAGATTATCATGACTCTAATCTGGACCAGTTCTTCAGCCTTTCCTTGTCTTTTATAGTATTTATTTGGAGAATACAGGACAGTTAAAGTATAGATTATCCTTCAGTTCGGGTTTTTCTGATTCTGCCTCATGGTTACATTTGGATTATACAGTGTGGGCTGAAATACTGTGAATGATGTGTCCTCTCAGTGTCATATCCAGGCTCTCAGAATGTCCCCTCGCCTCTTATTGGAGATGTTAATTTTATCACATGAGTAAGATGTTGTCCAGTTTCTCCACTGTATAGTTAGTTCCTGTTTTAACTTTTGCAATTAGTAGATAATTTGTGAGGAGAAACTTTGAGACCCAGGTTGATTGATATTCTATTTCTTGTCAAACCTTCCCCTCCTAGATTTAGCATCTTTTGATAATTCTTGTCTGAATAAACTTTTACTGTGATGTTTACAAAATTGTGATTTTTCTACCTACATTATTCTTTCTATATTAATTAGTTGTCATACTACTCTAAAGAAGAGGTTTCCCTTTATCTGTTTATCATAAGTGTAGAATAAATGCTTTTTTTCTGACCACTTGAATATTACTCACAGGTGATTCCTCTTAACCCCCAATAAGTGTGTATTCTCTAAGAATAAGGATATTTTCTTATATAATTACAGCATAATTATCAAAATCAGAAAATTAGCGTTAATACAGTATCTAATATATTCCACATTTCACTGGTTGTTCCAGTAATGGTCGGGGAGAGGGGCAGGGGTGAATTGGTCCAGGATTCAATCCAGAATAACACATTCCATTTAGTTGTCAAGTCCCTAGTCTCCTTCAGTCTGGAGCAGTTCTTCAGTCTGTCTCTCAGAAATGTCAAGGGCGTGAAAAATATAGACTACTTACATATATGAAGTGTCCCTTAATTTGAGATTTTCCGATGTTTGTTTATGATTAAATTGAGCTTTTATCTTTTTGGCAAGAGTACCATAGAAGTGACAGTGTCCTTTTCAGTGCATTGAATCATGGTATTGGTTGTTCCATCACAAGCTGTTTGTTTTGATGGCTTATTTTTGGTGGTATCTGCTAGTTTTTTCCAATGTAAAGTTTCTAATTTTTTTAAGTTAGCAAGCATTTTGTGGGCAGATACTTTGAGACTGTAAATATTCTGTTTCTCAGCAAACTTTCATACACTAAGTTTAGCATCCAGTGATGCTTCTTAGTTGAATTGTTAACTGATAGCTGCCAAATGATAGTTTTCCAGTTCTGTCATTCCCCCACATTTATTAGTTGGCATTCTATTATAAAGAAAAGATGCCTTTTCTCACTTCTTTTACTATGAACTCATAAATTCCTATTTTATTCATCTGTTACTCTCATTTGTTTTAATGTCA